GCATTCTTGGCCCCAAAATGTGCACCAAACAGGGGCTTATATAAAATAATTTTCAAAGAAATATTTTAATCAACGTCAACAAAAAATTTGTTCATTTCACCGACATCATGTCATACCAAGCATGATACTCATATATTTAGAGTTTGAACTACCACTTAAAACAACTTTTTTATTGTTTCGTAAGTGCTAACAAATGATAGTTGTGGTGTTTACGTCCAAACAATAGTACAAAATGGCAAAAGATGCACGGCGTAAAGAATGTACTACATTATACATGCGATTTTTTTCAATTACGAAGATTTTACGTTACATATTCCGCATAAAAAAATAAGATAATTATAAATTATTATGTTTTATTTATGAATAACAAAAATATGACTTTCAATTACGAAGATTTTACGTTCAAAGAAATATTCACATGCACATATGATGACACAGATGAGATACCTTATGAATTAGCTAAAGTAGATAAAGCTTAAATTACACAATGTTAGACACTAGTTCAAATCAACAAGCAAAAAAGTAATTATTTTCAGTGATCTTTGAAAAAAAATTCCATACAGAAAAATAATTTTGTGCCAAACTAATAAAAATAATCAAGAAAACTAATTCAAATCAACAATCAATAAAGTGATTATTTTCACTGGTCTTCGAAAAAAATTCCATATACAAAAATAATTTTGTGCCCAACTAATAAAAATAATCAAGAAATAAGTTTTATTGATTACTAGACACCTAAAAATTAAATACAATTCACTATAATAAAAGAAAAAGGAAAAAAACCACAAATTCAGAGGCAATGATACCAAAGATTCACGCAACTTGATAAAATCACATTTTCTCTAAAATTATTTGCAGCATTAAATTCATACACTAGAGAAATTTTATTTTTATCTTATTTCATTCTTCTGTATCCCTTTTTAGTTCAGTAAATAGTGAGTTGTGCCCCCATTTTGGTTGTATTATTGAAGCTCCAATCAATCAATTGTACTAGAATTTCCTAGAATGGAATGGCCGTGTTAAATTTATAGAATGGCCCTTGAAGCAAAGTGCAAGTTTTTAACCGTGTTAAATTTATATGCTTTAAAGTTATTGGTTGTGTCACATGCTAGTTTATCCTAGAGATGGTAACAAAGTGGTCCACATGCTGGCTTCTTTTCCTAGGTTTGATAGGGATTTGATTAGATAGATTGATTGTATTCCACCAATTATTTACTAGTTGTTTGTGGTGACTTGTACAAATGAAACTTGCTGATTTGCTTTACAAAATTGAGTTTAAGAGCTTGTTTATTTATATTTTTCTAAAGAATGAGGAATGGGATTATCAGATTTTGCAGTAAAATATTGATTGTAAGACATTCTAAATAAATGTCAAATTGATGAAATTGTGATAAAAGAAAAAAGGAATTATGTTTTATAGTACCCAATAGCAAGAATTGATATTGCTACTATACGATGACACACCATGAATCGATTATTATATGTTTTAGATAAGTATAAAATTATATAGGATTAGCTTCCTTCCCATTGACCACTTTGATCAAGAAAAAATATATAGGATTAGCTTCTTGTAGTAAAAAGTACTAGTGATGATTATGAGAAGACAACCCATGTGGAATTGCAATCCATGTGGATCAATGTAATTTAGAGTTTGTTGGGATAATTTAAAAAATGAATAAATCTTCTTGTACAATACTTGGGGACAATCTCTCACAAGGAGGTGGGGCCTAGAGATTGTCAACTAGTGTTGTAACTCAAGTGTTGTACAAATAGCATTGCTCTTAAAAAATTGTTGAGAAGTTGAGGTCAAAGTCAACAATTAATTTAACCACATATTTAATAAAATTCTTAATTTTAATTAACTTTGCAATTGCACAATTCATTAGCTTAGATTTTTATCAAAAGCTTTGCCAAACAACCCCTTAATAGGATTCTTGGAGCAACTTTGGTACTAGTTTTCGTACTTCTTGAAGACTTCTTTTTTTTTTTTCAAAGAATTTGTTAGGTCCAATGTTGTAATTGATATGTTTGTGAACAAAAACGTCTTAATTGAACACTTGTAAAAAGTCAAGGACTTGTATGCAATTTTGTATAGTTGAGTTAAGTTAGGGTTAGATGTTGAAAACAAGGAAAACACGACGTCCGAATTTCGCTAGCTACTCTCCTGATTCATGCTCGAGCGGCAGAAACATAAACGTTATCTCCCGCTTTTCGCCTCGCTGTCGCTCGAGCGATAACTCCCTCCCTCGAACGACATATTTATACTGCCAGACCTAATTCCCGATTGTGAAGAATTTTTCACGATCCATAATACCTAATCATCCCCAACTATAAATACTGATGTCAGGACGAATTCTATGGGGTTGCTTTATTGTGCTTTCATTTCATAACACATCTACATCATATTTTGAGATATCCAAGGCATAATTATTTGGTGATTTATCTATATCATTCTTGAGATTTGGCAACCAAGTTTTGGAAAAACATCAAGGTTCGTGAATCCAAAATACATGACTTCCTTAACACTTTGAGAAATGTACTTCTCAGTCGGACTTCAGAAATATCTAGATGTTAAGAGAGGTTGGATTACAAGCGCATGAAGAAGAACAGGAATATGTGATTCATGGGTATCTACTTGGAAGAGACTTGTACAGAAGATCGTAAGTCTGAAATTTACAGCGGATCTTGGAAGCTACATGATGTAGTTTGGGAGATCTAGCAGGTTGGCTATATAGTATTTACGGTAGCAGATCGTGAGTCTGGAGGAACAGAAAATCTTGGAGATTACAGGAATTACAACTGCGGGAACTAGTGGAATATGCTAGGTTGGAAACGGACTGTAATCCATATTATCTATAGTGGAGATAACTGGCTTGGTCTTGGAGTTTTACCCAGCTGGATTTCTCCACTATCATATTAGTGTTATTTATTGCTTTCCATATTACAAATTGTGCAAATCAACTTAGGATAATTGAACTGCTTGTTTAACGATCTTGAAACAATTAAAAGTTACTTGTTGCTTTTGATTGAATAATTATGCACTTAGGGTCAAAATTAAAAAGGGATAATTAATAACCATTCAGTAACTTGTAGCCATTAATTTGGTAATCCGTAACTTTCAATCGGTATGAGAGACCTAATTCATTCCTTGACCCATTTTATCTAGATGAGTAGTTTATTATCTGTCCCGTCTCATTTTGATGACAGTAAATATTTCTATTGGAAGGTTAGGATTGGAGTCTTTTTGAAATATATGGACGAACGTATATGATTGAGTGTTGTTAATGGTTTGACTGTCCCTAGTTCTGCGGTTAATAATGAAGTAATCCCCACTCCCATTGCTAATTGGACTAGGACCAACTTAGATGAATGTAACTGGAACGATAAAGCCTACATGCTTTATTTATGGTGTATCATCGGAAGAGTTTAGGAGAGTGTTTATGTGTGAGGTAGTTAAAGAGGTTTGGGATATGCTACAAACCACATGAGGGAACTTAGGCTGTTAAGAATTATAAGTTACAGATGTTGACCACTAGGTTTGAGGATATTAGAATGAGAGAAGATGAGATGTTTGATGCCTTCTATGCAAGTTTAAATGACATAGTGAAATCTAGTTACAACTTAGGTGAGAGATTCTTGGAGTCTAAAATTGTAAGAAAAATTCTTAAATCCTTTACCTGAAAGGTTTAGGCCTAAAGTTACAGCTATAAAGGAGAGCAATAACTTAGATTTAATTAAGGTAGAGAAGTTAGTTAGATCCCTCCAAACTTATGACCTAACATTAGCTAAACCGACTAATGATAAATCTTTGGTCTTAAACATTGTGAGGAATAGTTATAGGGAGTCGTCATATTCAGATGGTAATACATATTAGTAAGGTGACTTTGAACATGAATTGATCTTTTTTATTAAAGCTAAGCTCAAATTTATTCATTGCTATAAAAAGCTCAATATCTTATGTTCTTCTTTGAAGCCTATTTGACTTAAGCGATTAAGTTTGCGGGGTTTCTCATAACCTGGTGCCTATGGTCAACTAACTTGGGTTAACCGGTCTAAATCTCGTTACATGGGTCATTTTAGTCTCTTAATGAAGAAGAGCCCGCATTTAAGATGTGAAAAATAATTATGAGCTTAAAAATATTTAAAAAAAAATGTGTGAGAAATATTATATGCAAAAAGAAAATATCATTACAAAATGAGCTTCTATTTAAAGGTCCTAATGTGTTTTAAATAGTTTGACTTTCAGAAATAGAGGAATACACTTATTGGTAGTTATGTTTAGCATGTCATTTCTCACAAAAT